GGACAGGGAGCAGAGGGGTTTAGATGGGTCGGGAGTTCTGGGGGGGGCTGTCAGGGGGTGGGGAGTGGTTGGATGGGGCGTGGGAGTCCCAGGGGTCTGTCTGGGGGTGGGGGTGTGGATAAGGGTTGGGGCAATCAGGGTACAGGTAGGGGGTAGGGTCCTAGGGGGCCAGTTAGGATGGGGGGAGGGTCTCAGGAGGGGGCAGTCAGGGGACAAGAGGCAGGGAGGCTTAGGTAGGGAGTGGAGTCCTGGGGGGCAGTTAGGGGCAGGGGTCCCAGGAGGGGGCAGTCAGGGGACAAGGAACGGGGGGAGGGTTGGGGGTTCTGAAGGGGGAGGGAAGTGGGAGGGGCGGGGCTAGGGTGGGGCTCCTCCCGTCCTCTTTTTTGCTTGCTGAAATATGGTAACCCTAGCGCAGGGCAGGCCCGGCCAGTCCTGGCGGCTGCCTTGGGCCGCGGGGTTTTCCCAGTCGTGGGCTAGGCTGGAGGCGGCTAGCCTCTCCGGCGGCTGGGGCCTTACTGAGCTCTGAGGGCGAGCCTTTATACTTCCGGGTCGCCGCCTGACCCTCTGAGGGGCGGGCTCAGAGCTCCCTAGCTCCGCCCACTCCGGCCTCCGGACGGGCTTTTCCCTCTCCAGGGCGGCGGGGAGCCACAAAGCCTCACTACAGTGGGTTATATAGATTGTTGTAATTAGCCAGAAATCCAGTGTCTTTATGAAGTCCATGATTTTTAGTATCTAGCAAAGTTATGAATGTAGGCTCCCCGGCTCGTTGTTTGAAGGTGTTGTGCAGGTTTCCTTTGAGGATGGGGACTGGGAGGTCAGACAGGGAGTGATCGCTTTGTGAAAAGTGTTTGCTCATGAGTGATAGTGTTTTTGTCTTTTATCACTTTTCTGTGCGAGTTCATTTGGGAGCGCAGTGATTGTCTGGTTTCACTCACACAGTTGTTGGGACATTTAGTGCACTGGCTGAGGACACCACGTGACAGGCATGTGTAGGACTCATGGATCTTGAGTGGTGTGTTGTGGGGCTTATTGATCATCGTAGCAGTGGAGATATGTCTGCAAGTTTTGCATCTGTTGTTCTAGCAGGTTCTGGTGTTGCTTTGCGTTCGTGTGGCCTGGTCTGTGGGGAGCTTGTTTCTGATGATGACCTTGGCAAGGTTGGGAGGTTGTTTGAAGGCCAGTATGGTGATCTTGTATATATTGTGTGTAAGGCTATGTTGTTGACGTTGATGCTGGGAGCTTTCCAGAGAGAGTTTAATGTACGGGTGGTGGTGGTGGTGGTTGTAGTTGTGGTGGAAATTTATGAGGGGGTTCAGTCGTCTGTCCAGAGGATGAAAATACCATTGATGTATCTCAGGAATATCATTGGTTTCGTGGTGCATTTGTTCAGAAATTCTTCTTCAACGTGGCCCCTGAAGAGGTTGGCATACTGGGAAGCCGTCCTAGTACCCATGGCTGTTCCCATGGTCTTTGGACAAAGTGTTGCTGATGTAAAGTTGTTATGAGTGAGGGTGAAAGAGATGAGTTGTCCATTGTAGATACTGGAGCCAGGCCGTGATGCTATCATTGGGAGCAATGTTGGTGTATAAGGAAGTGACATCCATGGTTTCAAGGGTGGTATTCTGAGGGAAGTGGTTAGTGTTGCAGAGTTCCTGGAGGAAGTTGGTTGTGTCCAGGAGGAAGCTGGCCCTTTGTGTGTTGAGTGGTTTGAGGATGGTTTCTGTGAGTACTGATACCCCTTCAGTTAGAGTGCTGTGGCCAGATACGATGGGTCTGTCCGGGTCCCCTTGTTTGTGTGTATCTTGGGAAGCAGGTAGAAGGTCCCTCGGGCGGGTTCGAGAGGGATGAGGTTGAAGAGTTTCTCTTGGAGTTGTTTGGGGAAGGATTTGGTAGTATCCTTCAACTCCTGACTGAACTGTGGTGTGGGGTCTTCTTTGAGTTTTTTATAGCAGCGAGTGGTGGAGAGTTGCTTGTCCTCATTAACATAGTTGTCATGGTGGAGGACTGTGATGGCACTCCCTTTGTCTGCTGGTCTGATCGCTATCTGGAGGTTGGGTTTCAGAGACTGTATAGCTGGTGGAGTGATAGTCGAGCAATAGTGGTGGATGTGATGTTTAAGGATTTCACAGTGAACTTCCTGAAGCAATCAATGTAATGATCAAGTGTGTGGTTTCATCTGTTCTGGGGTGTCCAGTCAGATGATTATTTTTGTGTATGACTGTCAGTGGGGACCTAGTAATTATGAGTGGTGGTGGTGATGGTGGTGTGGAAGAATTCTTTGAGATGGAGTCAGCGAAAGAATTCTTCTATCTCTCCAGGTGTTAGTAGGCTGTCAGGTTCCGTGGTGGGGACAAGTTCAGTCCCTTGGAGAGTACAGATAATTCAGCTCCAGTTGGGGTAGTCTTGATAAATTGATGATGTTGGGGGTGTGGCGTAGTGTCCACTTGGGTCTTGGTTCTATGGTTTCTCCAAGAGGTGGTGTTCTGTGGGTTGTAGAGTTGTGGTTGGTTCCACTTTTAGTTTTGGATGGCTGTCCTCGGGGTTTTTGATAGTTGTTTTGAGTTTCTTGCGTAATCTCTAGGTTCCTGATTTTTTTCCTTCCAGTATGCTGGAGAATGTGGTGATTCCTGGTTTGAGGTAGCCCCTTCTGGAGTACGTAAGGTGCCAGAGATAGTTCCCCAGTTTTTCTGAAGTCCTTCTGCAGAGTTGGTCAGCATATTTGGAGTTGTATGTAGGGGCCAGAGGGTAATAGATGGTGAGTCCTCTGGGAATGATTTACTCAGCTATTAAGTTTTGCTTCCTTTTTCATCTTCTTGTGGACTTTCCGTTTCCATTTGGGGGGCACTACACAGTATTGCCACTAGATGGTGCCAAAACTTAATGCATCTGTCCTAAACTAGCCTCACATGCAGGATTGTCCATTTAAGGGTACAGGAGGCACTTTCATTCCTCAACAGTGCTGGAAACTTTCACATTACAAATATGGTATGTTCTATTCAACATGGGGCGACATTATTATTTATTTGTATTGTGGTGGCTTTCAGAAGCCCCCAGCTGAGATCAGGCCCCCATTGTGCTGGGCACTTCACAGACAAATAGTAAGACAGTCCCTGCTCCTTAAAAGCTTGCAGTCTAAATAGATGAGAGACGCAGTTTTTATCTCTGAAGTGCTACAAGCCATGAGGTTCCAGTCACAGTTCTGACCCGTGCATCCCCTGAAAAAGCCACAAGGGAGACTGAGTGTACAACAGGCCAACTTCTCAGGGGAAACATTGGGCCACAAGCCAAAACTAAAAGCTGCGGCTACAGATCTACAGAGCAAGCTGTATAGCCAGCAGGAATCACTGCAGGGCTGCTGGAGTGGGAGGGGCATAGGCCCTTCTGAGACACAATGTCACTTGAATATCCTATTCAATTCGAAGAGACCATGAGCCGTCTTTGGCAGCTGGCCTTGGTTTGGTGCCTATGTAGATTAGCTCTGCGTTGCGATTTCTGGTGTCTCCGTTTCAGATCATAGGTTTCCTTACGCTGGGGAAGTAGCAATAGCTGCAAACGCTGTAGAAAAACAGTTCACAAATGGAACTGGCTGATGTGAGATGAACACTTGATGCTGCGCAGCAGACCTGGTTTTGTGATGGGGCTGGTGGTGCAAAGATGTCCCAGTCCCACACCTGCTGCAGAGCTAGGCGTCAAAGCTGGAGTTATTCTAGCGAAATTGGTTCAGTTCCAAAGCTCCCCCTCACCAAGGCCTTCATCCTACCAGGTCATGCAGGCAAAGCCCTGTGGGTTTCCTTGCAGGATCAGGGCCAATGTCCTCATACAATGTAGCAGGGTTAGTCTTTTCTTAGTAGCTGCTGAAGATTGCAATGGAAGGTGATGCAGGTTGGGGCTGGGATGACAGTGGATCCTTAGGGGGAACTTTCACTATGGCTAGCTGTAGGCAGTGCACACTGTATTAACTCTGGGCCCCATCTCCCAAAATGTGTGGGTTAGGTCCGTCCGTCCCGTGGTGCTTTGCTGTGCTAACCCAGGTGGTTGTGTCCCCACCTCTCCTCAGCCAGCAGAGGAGAAGGAGCAGCTGCTGCAAAATGATGAGTACCAGGAGACAATGGTGGAATCCACCTTCATGTACCTGACCCTCGACCTCCCCACTGCCCCGCTGTACAAGGATGAGAAGGAGCAGCTGATCATCCCCCAGGTGCCGCTCTTCAACATCCTGGCCAAGTTCAACGGCATCACTGAGAAGGTAACTCCGCCCCTTCCCTGACTCTCCTGCACGGCTGCCCTCCTGCCTCTAGAGGCACACTTCCCTGCCGCCTGTCCCTGTTAGACTCTCCTGCTCTGCTGCGCTGCTTGTGTTTGGGGGGCAGCCGCAAATCTGCTAAGGCGCCTGGCAGATCTAAGGCAGCGTTGTTGGTGCTGGCAGGGCAGAGCGAGAGCTGGTGTGCTCTCCTATCCTTGTGGGTGTCTCTGCCCTGGCCATGTGTGGGTCTCTGGTTGCTGAGGGTTGTGTGTCTCTGTCCTTGCTCCAGGAGTATAAAACCTACAAGGAGAATTTCCTCAAGCGCTTCCAGCTGACCAAGCTGCCTCCCTACCTCATCTTCTGCATCAAGCGGTTCACCAAGAACAACTTCTTTGTGGAGAAGAACCCCACCATCGTCAACTTCCCCATCACGTAGGTACTTCCTGGACCCGGCTGGGGGGCTGCAGTTCCAGCTGTGCTTTCTAGGGAAAGCCCCTTGCACTCGCTCTGAGAACAGGGTTTGTCTGCAGTGGATGAGACCCAATGCAGCCCGTCTCCAAGTGGCAGCAGATGGGCATTGGCGCCTGAATGGCACTGCTAGGAGCTGGTGCAGATTGCACCCTTGTGGGATATATTGGTTGGTGCTCCCTGTTCCTCTAAGGATTCCCTCCAGGCGTTGGTTGGCAGCTAGGCCCGTTTGGCTAGAAACACACTACTTACATGCGACAGAGAGTCCTGTGGCACCTTATAGACTAACAGATGTCGTCTGACCAAGTGAGTATTCACCCACGAAAGCTTATGCTCCAATACGTCTGTTAGTCTATAAGGTGCCACAGGACTCTGTCGCTTTTTACAGATCCAGACTAACACGGCTACCCCTCTGATACTTGACTACTTACATGGACACTCGACCCCAGCAAACAGCCCTGTTTAGCAGACACTCCCCCTGTACAGACCATGCAGTCCTGTGCTGATACCAAGCACTGGGTTGTGATGGAAGGAGGGGCTTGTGGGTAAACATAGGACTGGGACTCTGGAGACCTGAGATCAGTTCCTGGCTCTGCCACAAACTCCCTGTGTGACCCTGGGCAAATCCTTGCCTCGCCGTGCCTCAGTTTCCTCATCTGTAAAATGGGGGTGATCCTTCTCTGCCTCCTAGGGGTCTGGTGAGGATGACCTCAGTACTCTGTGAGGTGCTCGGGGGGACTGTAGATACAGACACCAATGGAGCTCAGCCTTGTGAGGTCTCGTTTGGGCCCCCTGTGGCTGCAGTGCCACGTGCAGTCGGCTGTTCTGCACCTGCAGCTTGTAGGCCGGCATGTTGTGTGTCAATGTGGAGATGACCTTATACAGCCCCTGGGGTGGAACTCCCTGTTTGAATGGGTGCTAGGGCAGGGGTGGCACAACACATCTAGTTATGACTAACGGGGAACGTGACATTTAGCTACTGCCCTTGTCTGGTGGCTGGTAAAGTCGTCTTTCTCTTTTGCTTTGAGTATTAAAAATGATCTGTGCAGCTTCCAACTGAACTGTGCAGACTGTCTTGGCCAGAGCACGTCCTCCCTCCTTGGTCTAGTGCAGTGCCGGGTTATCTTCTGTGGTGCTGGTGATCCAGCCTTGCATGGGAATAGACGAAACAGCTCAGCCATTATAGCGGGTGCCTGGTTCTGATTTACATGCGTGTGGGGCTGACGCTTGGTGACTGCAATCGCAGCTAGCTAAGGAGCTGGCCTCCTGCTCTGGCCCCCGGTGCATCAGCATGCAACGTACAGGGGCACACTGGAACTCCCAGCCTTTTCAGGGCCTGGTGCAGCTTGCCCCTTGTGCTCACAATGCTGCTGTTCCTCCTGCTGCAGGAACGTGGATCTCCGGGAGTACCTGTCCGAGGAAGTGCAGGCCGTGCACAAGAACACCACCTACGACCTAATCGCCAACATCGTGCATGATGGGAAACCCACCGAGGGCTCCTACAGAATTCACGTGCTGCATCATGTGCGTGACCGAAGGGGCGGGGTTCAGTGTCTGCCGGCAGCGTGGGGGCTGGAGAAGCATGCCCAGCACCCTAGTCCCTGCTAGTCCAGTGGCTTGCAGTGTTCCCTTGGGGTGTGACCGCTCTAGTCTCTGGAGATTTAGCCCATACAGAGGATTGCTGATGCTAGCTCGCTGCCTAAGGCTGATCCCTTGCAGCTGCTCTAGCAGGGAGCTGAGGAGCCCTCCCCGGTTCGTTCTCCAGCCTGCACAGCAGCCGAGGGCAGCACTTGGGGCTTGCCCAAGCAGCTCTGCTCCCTGAATAGCCCCACAAGTGAGCTCAGGTAGCAGCTGGCCGTAACCTGCTCCCCCAGTCCAAACGCATCCTGATGAGATGTGCTGGGAAAGCAGTGCGCTCGCCGCCAGGCTTCTGTGCTCATCGCTTTGTGCCCATGGGGATGATTGCTCGGGGAGCTGGGGAGAATTTCCTAGTGCAGGCTTTGCTCTGTTGCATGGTGAGGCCAGACAGTGGCTCAAAGCAACAGGCTGGGCAGAGTGGAAGTCTGGAGCCCGGTGTGTCAGAACTAGCGCCACGGTAAGACCTGCTGTCATAACTCTTCTCACCTTTTTGCAATGGCTTTTGGCAGGGCACGGGCAAGTGGTATGAGCTGCAAGACTTACAGGTGACCGATATCCTGCCCCAGATGATAACGCTCTCAGAGGCCTATATCCAGGTGAGTGCATTGCTGTCTATTCCACTGCATGGGATGACTCGTTCTACCTGACCAGGTGATCTCTGCTGACGTCGTAGGGCCGTACAAGCTTTGCCTGGCTTTTCGGCTGTCCCGGGTCTCTGCACAACATGGCAGATGTGAGTTGCTGTTGCAGAGCTATTTAAAGAAAACTTGCTTGTGCTGCAGCTGCTCTAGCATCATCTCCTCTAGCACAGGCTAAGCACCTCGGGGAAGGAAGTGGTGGTCCCTGTGGGGGGAAGGAGGGCTGTATGTGTGATGAGTCATTCATCGCATACGGTAAGTGCTGACCCAGTGGTGCAATGATGGGACATGTAGGAGGCGTTGCTGTCACATCAGTGCTGGTGGCCATGTTCCTGTGGCTCTAGTGCACATACCCATGATACAGACAGTGCTGTTGCACTCTGGGATGCAGCGGCAGCCCACAGGCTCTGGTCAGCAAGTCAGTAAGAACTTCATGTGATAAATGATGTGGTAGAACAAAGGTGTGGGGGTGATAAACTTCTCAGGCAGGCAGTGTTTGAGTCCCTGCCCACAGAGGGGCCTACAGCAGCCTTGTGTGTCCTGAGGCACGGCGTGGCAATGGGAGGGGCGGCCTGTATTTAGAAAGTGGAGCTCAAAGTAATACTTAGCGCTTCTCATCTGTACTGCTCAAAGGGTGGGTGGATTGCCCAGTGGTCAGGTCATTAGCATGGGGCTAAGGAGAGCCAGGTTCAATTCCTGGCTCTGTCACAAACTCACAAGAATGGCCAGGCTGGGTCAGACCCATGGTCCATCTAGCCCAGTGTCCTGTCCTCTGACAGTGGCCAGTGCCAGGTGCTTCAGAGGGAATGAACAGAACAGGGCAATTATTGAATGATCCATTCCCATCATCCAGTCCCAGCTTCTGGCAGTCAAAGGCTTAGGGACGTCCAGAGCATGGAGTTGCGTCTCTGACCATCTTGGCTAATAGCTGTTGATGGACCTATCACCCAAGAACTTATCTAGTTCTCTTTTGAACCCAGTTATATTTCTTTTGGCCTTCACAACATCCCCTGGTAACAAGTTCCACAGGCTGACTGTGAGTTGTGTGAGGAAGTACTTCCATTCTTTGTTTTAAACCTGCTGCCTGTTAATTTCTTTGAGTGACCCCTGGTTCTGGTGTTATGTGAAGGGGTAAATAACACTTCCCTATTCACACTCTCCACACCATTCATGATTTTATAGAACTCTATCACAGCCCCCGTTATTCGTCTCTTCTAAGTTGAACAGTCCCAGTCTTTTTAATCTCTGCTCGTATGGAAGCTGTTCCATACTCATAGACTCATAGACT